GCACTGAAGGGGCACAAGCACATCAGCTGGTGTCAGCTTTGGGGTGAAACCCCAAGAAAACATCAGAACACTGCAGACAATGTGTCAGCTCCATTGGAGCTCCTTGAGGCCCTGGCTCCATACTCGGAGATGAAGGAGAGTGGAGAGGGCCATCTATTGAAAGCAACTAGGTTTTCTGAGTCTGGGCCAGCTGGAGATGTGGAAGGCAGACTGTTCATCAGCCTAGGGCTGGCCCCAAGCCACTGTCCCAGGGTAAGGCCTGGCCCACTGGGGAGAGGGAGGGGTGTGACAAGGCGGGGATTCCAGCTTCAGCATAGTGTTGTAGTGCTACATATTTTGCTGCATCCGACTTAGTACGCAGCCCATGGTTTACAGATTTTCTTGCTGGCAGCTGAGCCAGGTTGGCAGAGCCCAGTGGCTGCTGGCCCTGCCCCAACCATGTGAACTGGGGGGACAGGGGTCAATTATGCAGGGGAAATTGCTAACCCTGCAGCAAGCGATGTCTTCCTGTGACTGGATGAAAGGGCGGAGCCATCAGAGGAGACAGGTCCCCACCAAGGTTGGTCTTGTCTTAAAGCGCCCCACTGGGCTGTCTTCTCGCAGTGACAGATGAAAGCTGTTCATGACAGGAAGTCTGGCAGAGACCTGGGAAAGCCAGTCAGAATGCTGGGCCTTAGTAGACTCAGCCCCAGATGCCACTGGATCAAGCCTTGGGGCAGGTGAAGGCTCCTCAGATCCCGCTGGTTTATAAACACGGGTCCTGTTGCTGGGCAGCAGCTATAGCGGGTACCTAAATGACAGGAGCCGGCCCTCGCCCTCCACCTCGCATGTCTCACATTTAAATATTGCCCCTTCCGACTCGGGTATGGAATGAAGTGTGGGCATGAGAGAGCTAGGACAGGTTCCACAAGAGCGGAGCAGGAACAGGGTGGCAGTTGGAGAAGTCATCAAAGGACAAGGGTCACAGCGGCGGGGTGGTCTCTTCCTGCGAGGGCAGGGTTGTATGTTAGGGGTGGGTGTGGGGGACGGGAGCCCTGTCCTCAGCCAGGATACTGGGGCTAAGAACCTGCTCCCCAGCATGCACCCTCGGCTGTTGGGGTGAGTGTGAGCTCCAGCCCAGTTTGGGCAATGCCAAGCCACGGCCTCTGCCAGGTCCTCCGGGAGCAGGGGTTGGGGTCGAGCATTCTTGTCTGCTTCTCCCCCTCCCCACAGTGTCAGGCACTGGGTTTCTTACACTTGCCTCAAAAAGTATAGTCCAGCCTAGCTGAATGGAGACAAGGCCTAGCTGTGGCCCAGCAGAGGCGGGGTGGCTGAGCTCTGCTGGGAGGGAAACTGCAGAGCGCTCCCATGGGGCTGTGAGCCAGCAGCCTTCCTGGGTGCATTGCGTGCATGGAATGAAGGAGCCAGAGAGGCGTTGGCTTCTCCCTTTCACCGTGTAAACCTCGCTGTCCTGCCTCTCAGCCGCTGTGCTGTCTTCCAGGTTGTCACCTCCGCTCTCTTGGACTACTCAAGGCCCAGGCACTCAGGTTTACCCTCCATCAAGTACAGGTAGGAGACAGGAGGCAGGGGACTGTGACACACAGAGGACGAGAGGTCATGAGAGGGACAGACGGAACCCCAGCAGAGCTGTCCTGTACATCCCCACTGACTGGACACTCTGGGGTGCCTGCAGTTACACCAGGTTGTTAAGATGGCCCAGAGCAGCTGAGGCAGAAGACAGCACAGCTGGCCAGGATCTGGAGAGGGGCAGGGAGTGGTTCAGGGGACTCTCGGCTGCTTGTCCCTGAGCTGTGCTTAGCACTGAAAGTGTGACAGTTCTGGTCTCTGGCTGCAGAGCAGGATTCGTGTGGGGATCTCCTCCTACCCCTCCTTCTCCTCTTCCTCTTACCCTCTTCTTCTCCTTCCCTGTTTTTTCCTGCTGTTTCTTTCTTTCTGCCGGTGAGCTCCTCCCAGAGGGCCCTGGAACACACCTGGCTGTTTCTGAGGGAAGCTAAGATGTCACCACGGGGCAAGAGCACACCAGAAGATGTGGCCTTGGATATCAGGAGCTGCAGCTGGTCACAACCATTGTCCAGGTGACTGCAAATGTGGCTCTTTCCTCATCCGTCACATAGGAACCTGGCTCTGGAGTCCATCTGTGGCTCAGAACGAATGATTGGTGAAGGCATCTGTGGTATTTGTGCTCAGGGTATTTTGTGCTCACAATAAGCATAGGTTCTCCAAGTGCAAGGTGGGAGGTGGGAGGCAGAGGCACCCAGTGCAAATCACCTGACCGTCACTGCCGCGTCGCCATGGACTGTTTCTGCGTGGGCACTTCTGCCAGCCTCAGAATTGTTTCTCTGCAGCCTTTACCTCTCTCCCACATGCACATTGAATCCTCTTGTTCTTGCACCCTGAGGATTTAGAAGTTGCTGTTTCAAGGAGAGGAGGAAAGTGAGGTGCAGCCCTGCCAGCGTGTGAGTTAGCAGGATTTCCACAAGGATGAGTGCTAGTGATCCCCCAGTGAGACCAACTACTCTTCTTCTGCAGATTATGCTTTCTTTTCTCTGGTTAAGATTGTTCCTTGTGGATGTGAGGACCATTAAGTTCACCCTTGCAATGGGCGGTGCCCAGAAGCCACCAAAGATGTGGCCTAGATACTCTTGACTGCTCTGGGGGTATCAATTTCTTTCTCCTCTTCTGTGCTCTTTGTGTGTGCTCAGCACCATGGCTGAGGTTTTACTTATGCACTAATTAGTGAGTAGCCGCCACCCTGCACGATTAGAAGCTTAATTTGGAGCATCTTTCCTGCCACTTCTTGGAAGCTATTCTCAGAAATGGTTGGTGGTGAGCAGCAGAAATACCCTAGGACCACACTAAGAAAAAATAATCCTAAGGAATTAGAAGACACTGATTCTTCAGAAGGCTGGGGCTGCGGTTTTCTGGAAAAGGAAATGGCCTGCTCCCTGGACCTGTGGTTGTCCTTGATGATTGCTTTCCTCGGGGCAGGCAGGGCATCTGGCCATTGTATTTGTTTTTGTCTCAGTGTTCAGATTTGAGATTTCAGGGAGTATGCATGTAAAACAGTGCTTCAAAGACAGGGAGCACAAGTCGGGAGAATGGGAAGTGAAAAATGGGCAAAGCCACAACTTCTTGGAGATTTCCAATCCCTGCTCTCAGTGAGCTAACAGAACAGACAGTTAACAGGGATGTAGAGACCTGACCAACACTGTAGGCATCAAGAAACTCTTTTGATCGTGCCTTAGGCAAAGATCACACAGATGCCGAAAGGCACAAACAGGAAAACGAAGTGTTAATAATCTCCACTTCATTATAATTAAAATATTTGCTTTTCCAAAGACACTTGCTGGGAGAAAATTGGGAAACCTGGTCTGAGAAAGGACCTGCACCTATAATATATAAAGTGGTCTCAAAGATCAATAATAAAGAAACAAACAGCCATTAAAACATGGGCACAGTGCTGGAAAAGACATTTCAACTAAGAAGCCACGTAGGTGGAAATTAAACACAAGGGGGATCTGCAGCAGGGTCATGAGGGTAGAGCACGGAACTCAGGGAAGTTCTCCTGCTGCCTGGCAGAAGGGCTAAGCCAAGCCCGCAACATAAAAGGGGAACACGGAGTGCTGCAGGGGACACAACACATCTCAGACACGCAGGCAGGAGGCAGAGCCAGAACCAGGCTGTAAAGGAGTCTGCAGTGCAGCTATATAAACAGCACCTCCATGAGAAATGCATGGGTGTGCGCAGGAAAGCCCGTCTGGGAGGATTACAGCCTCTCCTTCCCTGGGCACCTCTCTGTGTCCTCGTACTGGGAAGACAAACTGCAGTACATCCATGCTGTGGAATAGGGTTCAGGTCAAAGAGGAGCAAAGGATGGTGCAAAGTGACCATCAGAGCCACGTCACAAATGCACAGGCAGCCAACTGGAAGGCTACAGCCTGCACAGGCCCACGTCCAGGACACAGTGCAAATGGCCAAAGTCCAGAGTCAAAGGCCACATCGGCGCTGCTTGGGGTTGAGGCAGAGGAAGCAGGTGGCCAAGGGGCACGGAGGAGGTGTTGATACTTTCTGTGTGTGATGTTTCCCCGACCTCGTGCCTGTGTCACCACTTAGAACCATACACTTGCAAAGGGTGAATTTCACTGCATGAAATCGGGCCATCAGAAGCCCAACTTTGGAACAAGACAAGTTTCTGTAAAATTCCATCCACCTGACATTGCATTTACTCAATTAATTCAGTAATATTCCTCCTCACTCCAATTCACACATGGGAAAGACACTTTTATTAGCCTTGTTCTTCATGACAACAAGCATATGAGGTTTCCAAGATGCCCAGGGGTTCGCTTCTCCCTCCAAGCATGAAGAGCTCCCCACCTCAGATCCCAGGGTTCCCAGTGGCCCCTCCCTTGTGATAAGCACTGAGAGGGGTGAAAGAAGGGAGAAAGGGAAGAGGAAAAGCTCAAACGGCATGGGCTGGGTTGTGCTGGGCCAGGAGGTAGCCCAGGGAGAAGAGCCGAATAGGCACCCTCTCCAGAGGGTTGCAGCTGCTCAGCATGGGCACAAAAGGCAGCTGTGTGGAGTGCCCAGCTCTCGGCCAGGGGAGGCAATGCCCTGTCTTGAATTGCAGTTAGACCCTGATTATTTTTGCCAGATAAAGAAGGTCACTTGTCTGAACATCCCTGTGGACCTAGCATTGTGTCTGATAAAATTCTACTTGTCTCCCATCAAACTGGGAACAGAATCTTAAAAAACAAAATCAACACATGAGATCCGTGAGTGTGACAGAAGAGAGCACGACATTTTGACACATGCACACGTGTGGAGGTTCAGTGTCCTCCCCCTGCAAACACAGAGCTGAGCATTTTCGTTTTGTTTCCCTTTGCTTTTTGGAAACACCATGGGCATAAAACAATCCCTGCCTGCAGGTGGTGCTTTTCGCAAACACCAGCTGGAAGGTTGGGGTGAAAGCGAAATCTACAAGCCAGAGCTCAACAGCTTACCTGAGAGGCTTCCAAGAAGCACAAATGTCCCTTAGAAGAGGAAACCAGGCAGGTGATTCCACTTGAGGGTCTGGAGGGGACAGAACAGGAGAAAGTGCATGGAGATGTTTGTACATGTGTGTGCATTTGTGTGCATGTGTGTACATGCATGTGCATGCATGTGCATGTGTACATGTGTGGCTATGTATAGGTTTGTGGTGGTTTGTGCAGGGCATGGTGGCCAGCATGTTGGTGCAGGGCAGAGAGGTCAGGGCACAGCCGACCTGAAAGACCTTTCTTCCCTAAAACCTGCACCTCTTCCTCCTCCTCCTCTGCAGCACAGCCTCCCAACCCTCACGAGAAGCTCAGATTTCTGAGGCACTGAAAGCCAAATGTTTGTTTGACTGTTTGAATTTAATTCAATGGATGGCCAAGCCTGGCCTGGAATGAGGGAAGGCTGTACTGGGCCCTCACCCTCCTTCTCCCTGTGAAAACACCTGCGTTTCAGACAAAACCACCAACACGCACAATGGACAGTGTGGTGGACGGGACACGGGTGTGAACACTGTGAGTGTGTGACCAGACAAAATATGACCTCCCTGCTGCACCTTACAAAGATCTCAGTCATTCCAGACCTGCAAACCATTTCATGAGGAGTACAGATCTTGGTCCTGTACAGCGTGGTCCCACCAGTGATGACACCACTCCCAGTGCATCCAGGCTCCACACCCCTGCTCCACGGCCTCACATGGCCCAGTTCATCAGCCCCTGACACGAGGAGACCTTGCTTCTGCTATTTCAATCTTAAATCCTAGTAGAAGATGCTCTCCTTTCAATGCTCTTTCCTATTTATGGAAACTCCCAAGAACAATTATGTATTTTCCACACCCTGGCAAAATTGCAAAATGTCTAGATCCACAGTCAAATATGAACATACAGTTGGTATTAAAAGTAGGCCAGAGGCCTCATGATTCCAGCAACTGGCATTGATTCTTGCAATGGAGAAGTCAGAGATGGTCTTACAAATTGTTAAGACATTACAGGGTCGAGCAAGGCTCAGAGCATGTTCCTTTTAGTAGATATCTCAGGGGCTGACATTTTACCTGTTGAGGAATCAGAGCTGGAAGGGAACTGTTCTTTTGGGTGATGAGAAATAAACAGCCAAAAATCATTTTGCAGATGCGTTACAGACCCTTGGACACTCAAACTGGGGGATCGGCACCCACAGCAATCACAGGAGAAAAGCACACTTCATCCAGGTGGCTCTGAGCCTGGTTGGGGTGGCCTTGGACAGGCAGGAGTCCTGTATCCCATCACCTCCATCTTCCCACCTCCTCCTCCATGATCCAGTGGGTCTCAGGTCCACTAAACTGCTATCCCTGCCCCTCGTTGTGGATATCTACTATGAATAAAAACTGCACACACACAATCTGAGCTTTCACTAAGGAAAGTCCACAGCTTGCTTTAAAAGGCACATTCAGCCTCCTCACCTGATTGTTACATCCCCTGAGGACGCTAGGACCCCAGCAAGAGCTGTCCCCAAAGCAGTTTTCTAGTCACTAGGTTTGGCATCAGAGGGAGGTATACTGGGAAGGGATTTCCAATGGTCACTTTATATGCACAGAAGAGGAGCCTGGAAAACCTGATCAAGAGCAAACAGCAGATTTCAGCACAAGCTCCAGGATGTTTGGGTTTGAAACACAACAGCAGCCCCCCCCCCCACTAGGGGCTCACAGCACCTCACTCTTGCCAAGTTGGAGCTGGGAAGCCATTCTCTCAAGGGAAGCAGATTTCCCCACAATATCAGATGGTGCATAATGACTTCTGAAAAGCAAGCCTTACTTTTTAACATCAATTGATAAGTTGTCTCTCCTGATGCATTTCCAGCCTAGCCTGGAGCTCTAAGGGGGAAGGAGCTCGCGGTTTGTGTCGGGGTGGATCTGAGGTTTCTCTGTGCACTCAGAGCCCCAGGCCGTGCCCAGCCCGCTCTGCTGCCTGAAGGCTCGGGACACATGTGCGCACCTGGCCTTCAGTGGGACCAAGACCTCAGCCAGCGCGCAGTGGCAGCAGCAGTGGCTGCTTTCTCGGCTGCCAGACCGCGCCCAGGGACTTGGGCAGCTGCTGGGGCCCAGCTACAGAATTCGCTGGGAGGGTACCCAGAGCCAGCTGCTCTTGCAGCTTGGTGGAGACCGCCGGTCCCGCCCCATCCCCAGGCGCAGCATCAGTGAGGTCTTGGTGATCACAACAGGATCTTTGGGGGGCTCTCTGGGCGCCCTAATTCAGCTCCCGCAAGGCAAACCCCAAACCTAAGGCAGAGTCATCCTTATGGTTTAGACTAGGTGACCAAGAGGAAAAACCTCCGGAGATACAGCTGAGGGAAGCCTTCTCTGGACACAAGACCCAAACACGCCTCCCTCTTGCGCCCAGAAACACAGCGTCCCTCATTCTGGGTACCTGAGAGAGACCTGATTTCCTGGCAACCAACCCTGGGGGCTCGACCTGGGGTGTGATGACCCAGCGTGGGTTCTCCAATCCCAGGTTGCTAAAAGGAGGTGTCAAGGGCCAGGGCTGCATCCTAGGTCCTAGGCCACTCAGTCTGAGCTGGGGACAGGACACGCCCAGCGGTCGGAAAGGGATGTAGGATCGCGCTACGCAGCTCCTAGATTGAAGGTGCTGGGTGGGGGGGCGCCTGGCACTGGGGTCCGGACTACAACCAGCGCCCAGCCACGCCCCCTCCTCGCCCAAGGCAGTCCTGATCATGGTGCTCTGGGGTTGGGTATGAGGATCCAAACCTAATTTCCCAAGCGCCAGGTGCCGGTCGTGCCTTCCCGGAAGGGGCTGACAGCTTTGCGGAGGCGGGCAGAATGGACACGGCCTCGCCGCCATCCCCCTCTCGCTCGGCCATGCAGTCCTCACGCACCGGACACGGGAGCCCACTCCTAGCTGAGTGTGGGGTCGTCTCTGTGCCTGGTTTTGGGGTGCCCTTTGTCCCTAGTTTTGGGGACCTATCCTCTGGATGTAGGGTTCCTTCCGCGCCGCTGTGGATCTCTCTCGTGCCCAGTTTTGGGGTCCCACCCGAGGCCGCGCCCCGTCTCACCTCTGCCCAGCAGCGCGCCCAGCACCAGGCTCAGCACCCCGCACAGCGGCGCCACCGGCCCGGGGGCCGCGCCCTCGGAGCGCATCCTGCCGCCGTCACGCCGCCCGCCGCCGTCCCGGGCTGCCCCGCCCGACCGCAGCTCCCGCCGGCCGCCCCATGCCCGGCCCCGGCCGCGAACAGGCCGCTGCGTCTCCGCGTCCGCGCCCTAGTCAGCGCTGCCCTGCCGCTCACGCAGCGCCACTGACAACTTTTCTCCGGCTCCGCCTTTGCCGCCGGCCCCGCCCACCGACAAACCACGCCCACCCCGAGGCCCTGCCCCGGCGTCCTGGTCTGTTGGCCCCGCCCCGTCCCCGCCTCCCGCAAGCCCGGCCCCGCCCCCGAGCCTGGAAAAGGGCGGAGTGCTGTTGGGCTGTCCCGATGTCCTCAATGACCTGGAAAACGTCCACGTTTGCTGGTCGTTTTCACTTTGAAAAGAACCCGAATTCGCACAGTGCCAGGTCTACTGAGAGGAGGATGGAGACTGCGTCTCGATGTTTTCAGTTTGCGGAGTTTTATGGCAGTGTTTTGAATGTGTTCAGGAGCTGGAGGCAGCCACAGAAGGAGGCTGACGAGGGGGCTTCCTGAGCTGCGTGGGAAAGCGGCGCAGAGGTGCGGTGAGGTCAAGGGGAGGGGAGGAGTTGGTTGTAACTTTTCCTCCCGACCTTCGCCTCATCTCTGGATCTCACCTTCTACACTGTAGCGGGGACTAAGTTGGTTCAGCCACTGTGGAAAACCACAGGGGGACCTTCGGGGACAGAGAGATGGAAGCACCCTGAGGTCCGCGGTCCCAGGATTGGGTGGGCACCCAAAGGGAGGAAACAGGCATTTCAAAGGGACGTCTGGGCTCTGTGTTCACTGAAAGTTGATACCACAGCGAAGACAAAGAATCGACCATCATGTTCACCAGAAGATAAGTGGGCAGTGAATATGTGGACTACTGTCCATCCTTTAAGATGGACATCCTGCCATTTGTCACAACGTGGATGAACTCAGAAGAAATCATTCTAAGTAAAACTTGTCAGCTGTGGAGAGATAAATTCTGATGATCTCAAAAGACACAAACTCACAGAAGCAGAGTAACACAGCAGTGCCCAGGGGTCAGGCTGGGAGTGGGGCTGGGGATACACTGGTCATGGGACACAAGGTTTCAGTTAGGAGGAAAGAGTCCAGGAGGGCCCTTATGCAACATGGTGACCACGGGTGATAAACGTGCATTGAGTCTTTAAAAACTGCTGAGAGTCGATTTGAAATATTCTAACCTCCCAACACACACACACATGTGGGATAATGTTATGATAATTAGTTTATTCAGTCATTCTACAATATCCACACATATGAAAACACCATACTCTGCACTATACACATATTCAACTTTTGTTAAATACATTTTAAGGACAAGCAGAATGAGAGGTAAAAAGTAAACGTAAGGCAAAGAGTAATTACAGGGTGCTTTGTAAGCTTCCAACAAAAAGCATAACCAGGTGCCCAACGCTGTCACATCTAATCACCTCAAGTGTCAATAAAATAGCATTACAAACAGTGTATATGTACTTAACAGAAGTCAAATTGCACCAAGCAAAAATGGGTCAAAATTAAGGGGTGATACTGATACAGAGAGAATTGTTCCAACGAAAGCATTCCTTCAGTAGCAACTGAAAAAGACAACTGTCTGTGCATGTATCAGATAACCTATTATCAATTTATCAGCTGTCTCCATATCTATCATCTCCCTGTGTGTGACCTAATCTGCTATCCTTTTATTATCCAGCATTTATCCCTGTGTAGACCACCCACCTACCATCTATCGGCATGTCTCTCATCTGTGTGACTATTATTTGTCTCCTCATCAGCAGGTCCAGGTGATCTGACCATTATCAATAGCCTTGGCCCGACTGGTGCATATAAAACTGTACACATGTAGTTTTCTAGGATACACAATGTGCCCTCCACCATAGACCATTCTGTGAACAATATACCAGGTGCAAATAAATTTAAAGGATTAATACCATCTGAGGAACTGACCACAAATGGAAAAGATTAGAAGTCAGCGGGCGATAACATGCCTAGAGAAACCCAAATACTTAGAAATTAATCAAGGTCCCACTAACACATGAGTGAAGAGACTCACAGGGAAGATGGGAAATTATTTCTAGTTGAATGATAATGAAACCACAAGATAAGTAAATAAAACCATAAACCCCCTGTGGATTGTGGCTAAGAAAAGGGTCAAGGGTGAAATTACAGCTTTAATATTTGTAGAACAGTGGAGCCCAAATCGTGTTTTAAAGCTAAGCTTTAAGCAGATGATGGGAGGCCTGGTGTGGCAGTGCATGCCCACAGTCTCAGCACTTGGGAGGCTGAGGCAGGAGAACTGTTGCCATCCCACACCTGCCCAGGACTGCTCTTCCCGTGGGGAGAAACAGCTGCTCCTGCCACTTGGGAGTGGGAGGGACCCGAGGCCCAGGCCCTCTCCACGGAATCCAAGGAGGCCTGATAGTTCCCTTCTCTGCCTCACTCATCACCATCTTTGTGAACAAAGCACATGGCCTGGGGACTCAGAAGCTTCTCTGGGTCGAGCCGAAATTCGCACACCATGGAATTTACTATCATGGAGTGCAGAGTGAGGTGGCTGCCAGTTTATTCTCAAAGACGCACACAACCATCACCACTGTCCAATGCAGAACTTTCTTCAGGTCCACAGCACCCTCCTCATGCCCACCTAGGCCTGGCAGCTGGTCCTTGCTTCCATCTCCATGACTGGCCCCTTTGGGCCCTCGGGAAACAGTGCCCAACCTGGACCTGGACTCCGACCCAGGGCACCCTGTGACTGAGTGGCTCGCTTCATGCTGTGCTCTAAGGCTCGCCCGGGGTGCAGTGATGTGGGTGACGCGGTCCTCATCACAGTGAGATGTGGCTCTGTCAGTGATCGCCATGTGCCTGCTCTTCCCTGAGGTGCTTCACACTCTCACCCTCTGGCCAGAAAGGCCCCGAGGCGGCACTGACCCAGTGCTCCATTCCAAAGGCCTATGTGGATCAGGGTTCTCTCTACAACTAAAGGGGACCAGGGGCCTGCATTCCAGGTGCTTGGTCCACCAGAGCTGTCCCAGGACGAGGACTCTATACTTCTGCTTTCCCAGGACCCCCCAGGCTGTTCATGCAAAGGTTGAACAGCACGGGCAGGCAGTGCATAAGTTGCTCATCAGAGGTGGGTGAACAACAGCCTCCAAAACTCCACAATACGGTAGCCATGCAAGGCTGTCTGCCTGTGGACGTCCAGGGCCTCAGAACCATCAGTGTGGTTTATGGTGGGAAGCCATCGTGTCACAAGGGCAGGGAGGGGACCCCCAGCGAGTCGCAGCCCCAAGATGCCAGCTCAGGTGCAGCCCTGCATTGCATCTCATGAAGGGCTCTGCAAGTGTCCAGCACTCTGAGGATTAAAGGTAACACCAGGTGGACGCCAAAGCTCCCTGGGTTTCTTTCCTTCAGTGCAACCTGTGGGCGGAGACTGCGAGCACTGATTTGCTCGACTTGTGAGCCATACCAGAATGCGAAACACATTCAATTTCCCAGGAAAACGAAAACCTGAATCCTTTTCATCTTAAATACATTGGAAATGATTTTAAAGTGACTTCATACAGATTGTTACTCCTGTAAATCAAATATACTCTAAACTGCAATGAAATGGGAAATAGCTCTGGATATGAAGTAATAGCCCTTAGGCCCTGCAAATAAATCATGGAATTATACAGCTAAAATATATCATCAGCAGCAAACACTGGCACATGGGGAAGAAACTTCACAAGTGGTCTGGTAACGGCTTCTCACACCTCGAGAGTTTTACAGGTAGAGCAGGGCCTGGTCTGTAGGGCGGGCAGTGCCGGGACCAACGAGCCACAGTGTGCGGTAAACGAAGGTAGAATGAGCTCTTGTTCTCTGCTTGCAGGCAAAGCAAATCAAGCAACAATAATAACAACAAAACCCCATACGTCTGACTGATTTCCACCCTGCTTGCCACAGTCCATGTAGTGAAATCAGTATTTCAGTAAAAAGCAATAAACACACACAGAGGGGAGAATAATGCACCAAGCACACTCGAGCATGCAGTAAAAACAAATGTTACCCCGACTATTGGTGGAATAATAAACAGCAAGGAAAGAAATGTTAAAAAGAGCTCTAATCTAAGCAAGTGTGCTTTCCTGTTCCAGAGTGGCTGTGAATCTCATTCCTCATTGAGCTCGGGTTGTGGAAATGCACACTTTTACACACACAGGAGTCTGAGCAAAGACTTGCTCTAGAGAACCAAACACACTCCAGACTCTGACCCTCTCTGGGCAGCCTTTTATTCAGCGGCTCCTTGCTACTTGGTGCCTTACTGTCTGTCCTCTGATACTTCTGTCTTTTTTCTGTCCTCTCCCTGTTTCTGAGATGCCTGCAAATCATTACAAATCAGTCAGGAAAGATTTCCTCCAATCTCCCGAATAGAGGGACGCCTCTCCCAGAATGCTAAGCAAGCCCCTCTGACACCAGCTTTCCAACTGGGATCTTAGGATGGGTGACATTTATTGGCAGGCGCTAATTAGTCTGCAGGAGCTGACTCTGCAGGGCCTGACTCCTCTCCCCATCACTCACAGGGAGACAAACTCTTCTCCCAACACCGCGCTCACTTCTGGCCCACTGCCAGGATGGTGTTTGCTCTGCCTTGTGTTGCCTCCTCGATTGTGAGAAGACCAGCATTGGTGACTCAGTGGACAATGTCATTGGCATTAAGGGCTGGATTCTTGGGAAAGCCCGGTTGTATTTCAGTGCCCGTGGTTAGGTTTGGGAAATTAGGTTCCTTCTGGTCTCCTGGTCTCCTCGGTACAGGTGCTTTCTTGGTTTAGAATGTATAGCAACCCAGATCTGAGAGGCAGAATAGGAGCTGTCAGCACACAGGCTGTGCAGGGAGACACACACAGGGTACCCCTGGATAAGCAGGTGATGCAGACCGCCCATTCCCACCTCCACGTGTGGCCCCATTTGGAAGATCCGTCTTGCCTTTGCTGTCCCACTTTGCTCACTGTTACCTGCTCCACGGAGCACTCCGAGGTGTAGCCCAGGTTCAGTGCTTTCTTTCTCTCTCTGACTTACGAGGTTTTATCAGTTTTTTTTGGCTGCAAGAGACACCAAACTCAGCTTGCCTTAAATCACAGGATAACGTGGGCGTCTTGAGCCACGTGGTGGCAGAATAACAAA